TCCTGTACATGTACGCTGCAGTTATTTAATGTGTTTTTTTTTCATTTTTAGAATAAGCTTGATTTTTTGTTTGTTTAAGAAATTAATTATAGACGGATCTTTTTTCTCCCCTCCCCCTTCAGAATTAGAGCTTTTCATAGTTGGGGTAAAGAGTAACAATGAAGGAACATGTTCTGATTCCTCTGCTTTGCTTTCAGATCTTCTCTGTGCAGAAACCCTGACTGTAAAGTAGCCCTTGCTAAGGCCCAGGGGAAGGGAGTGATGTACAAACGCACTGGGAGAGGCTGGGAAAGGATAGCTTCTCCAATGAGAATCAGGTAGCAGAGCATGGACCCAAAAGGAGAGTAACCTCATAAAGCAAATGGTACTTCATATACAAATTACTCACGTTGAAAAACTCTTCCCATTTATTAATTATGAAAGGCTACTATTTCAGAAAAGTATCTCGGAAAAGAGAAACATTAGAGCCAATATAGTATATAGGCCTTAATTTCTGCTTCACCATAGTTGTTCCTATAGGTCTTTTGGTTTTTATTCAAGCCAAGGATGGTGAGAATTAAGAGCACAAATTAGATTTATTTTTAAAATCTGTCCACGAAACAGAAATGTTCTCCTTTTCAAACCATAACTAAAGCTTTTTCCTTTGTTGACAGTATCCACAGAGAAGCCAAAAATCCCATGCTTATGTATGATATATAAGAAATCTTTGATTTCTTAATGCCAGTTAAAGAGTTGTTTAAAAAGCTAGTCAACTCAGCAACGAAAAGAACAACCTGATAAAAAATGGACAAAGGACTTGAGTAGATAGTTCTTAAAAGAAGATGTACAAATAGTGTATTCATGTGAAAAAATACTCAACACCATTAATCATTAAGGAAATTGAAATCAAAACTACAGTGGGATACCACCTCACACCCATTAGGACACCTATTATTAAAAAAAAGAGAAAATAAGTGTTGGTGAGGAGGTAGAGAAACTGGAACCCTTGTGCACTGTTGGTGTGAATGTAAAATGGTGCAGCTGCTGTGAAAACCAGTATGGAGATTCTTCAAAAAGTTACACATAGAATTCCCATAGGATCCGGCCATCCACTTCTGGGTGTGTACCCAAGAGAAATGAAAGCAGGTCTTGAGTAGATTGAACACCCATGCTCATAACACCATTATTCACAATAGTCAAAAAGTGGAAGCAATCCAAGTGTCCATGAACAGATGAATGGATAAACAAAATGTGGTCTGTACATACAAAGAAATACTGTTCAGCCTCAAAAGGAAGGGAAACTGCGATATCCTCCAACATGGATGAACCTTGAGGACATTATCCTAAGTGAAATAAGCCAGTCACAGAAGGATAGATACTGTATGATCCACTTCCATGATTTATCTAGAGTAGTCAGATCCACAGAGACAGGGTTGCCAGGGGCTGTGACAGGGAGGAATGGGGAGTTATTGGTGTTAAATTGGGAAGTTTCAATTAGGGAAGATAAAAAGGTTCTGGAGGTGGATGGTGGTGATGGTTGCACAACAGTGTCAATGTTCTTAGTGCCACTGCACTGTTCACAGAATGGTTAAGATGGTAAGCTTATGGTCTATATATTTTACCAGAATTTTAAGACTAGTTTAGGAATTTGGCAAGACCCATACCTAAGGGCCAGGTTCCTCCCACTTTCTCCCTAGATTCTCACAGACCCAACTGATTAATGGCAAGCTCCCCAAAATAACCTTGCCTGCTTTTCTCTGCTGCCGAACAGTAACGCTTTAGCCCAGGGCTGTCAGTCACTTGAAGTGACCACAGTACATCTAAGAGCTTGGAACCCCCGCCCCCTTGTTGTTAAACAAGAGCGCCGTGGCAACACAGACGCCCCCGTGCAAAGCATGGCGCTTCTTTAGAGCAGCCTGACCCGGAGAGCTGGCCCCACCTCTTCTCTCCCAGCCTGTTCGTTTTCTGACCAAAGAGCAGTTGATCCCCAATGTTCTCTCACCAGCAGCTCTTGAAAGAATGAAGACTCCTTATTTTCCCTCCCCTCACACAACCCAAGAACCTTTTGGGAGGGACAGCTCCTAGATGGATATTGGTATTTGAGGCAACAAATAGATCATGTCAGAGATTGAGCCTCACGCCTTCTCAGAATGGCAGAAATGAAGTGGCCACAGGTGGTGTTTTGAAACCCCCAAATCACACGTAGCAGCCATGTTGTGGGGAACAGCAGGAAAGCAAGTGGAGACTGGCTTGGTGCTTGAATAAACGGGCTGTGCAGGACTTGCTCAGTGGGCAGGTGGAGCCGGTAGCAAGCCACCAGCTGAGCTCCGGGTGGGGCGACCCTGCACAGTAGCTCTTTGGGAATTTGGAAGCTGCCTGGTGTGTGCTCCTGGAGGGCCCTCTCTCTTTCCAGTGTGCCTGCTAACAGGCACTGGCACCAGAACACAGCTGTCCTGTCTGAAATCTCAGAGATGGGAATCTGAGTGCAGGCTGGTTTCACTCAGACTGTGTGGGGCTGGGGCAGGGCAGCGGGGACAGCAGGGACAGTTTAATAAAGGGGCTGATCGTGATGATGCTTGCTAGCAGTCAGGCTGCTTCCTGAGTGCGAGAGCTAGTAGGATATTACAGACATCATATTAACTTTCCATCCCAGACCTTGAGTATCAGAACCCCTTTTCAGGATAAAACATTTGGAACCTCACTTCCAAATAGTTTACGAAGAAAATACTTAATGGCACAATTACTGAAGCTGGGTGATGCTTTCTTTTAACTAAATTTGTATTATTCACCCTAAGACATATTTGAAAGATAGTGACACATTTCTTGGGACTCATGCCGTTTATTTAATCTTCCTGCCAAGCGCTATGCACGCCCACAACCCCAAACCCTGCTCTGTCACTCTGAGCAACTTCTCTCTGCACTGCTTCTGGGTGCGCTAAGTGGGAACCTCCTTAATCTACTCATTTCTTGTAGCAGTTATGCAGGTAAGTGTAACAATTCCCATTTGATACGTGAGGACCTTGAAACAGATTAATCACTTGACCACGGTCACTAGCTGCTAAGTCACAGTTGCTGCCTAAAGTGTGGTGCTGGCCCATGGCTCTCAGGACCTGGCCCAACCACCTCTTCTTGTGCAGCTCTGTAAGGCCCAGTGGTGTGTAGGTGGTCCTTCCTCTCTGTTTCCTTGCAGACAGCTGCTAAGCACAGGCTGCAGGGCAGTTTCTCCCTGTGTAAGAGCAAATAGGCCAACAAATGCATCGGGACCCCGGCGCTGCGAGAACTCTGGCTTCATCTCATGCTGCAACTGCCTCTTTGATCTTACCGTCTACAAGCCACAATGGTCTCAGCAAAGGAAGCCTCCTCTCCCATAAATTACAACTCTAGGCTCATGTAGTGAACACAGAAAGGTAGTGAGCACTGAGTTCACTTTGGAGGAGAACAGAGAGGGATGGCAGTTGGAAAGCTGTCCTCCAGCTGTTGGTCTCCTGTTCTCTCTGAGGTAGCTGAGCCTTAACCAAACAACAGCAGGAACATCATGTTGAGTCAATGCTGAAAATGAGAAAACCTCGGAGATTTCGATCTCCATCTTTAGAAAACAAGTGCATACCTGCACTGAGGGACTGCCTACCAGTGAGCTGCTACACCCCATGGACCAATCCCTGGGCAGGGGAGCACAGGGCCAGTGTCCACAAGCTGCCCAGTGGGCACTGAGCAATAATTGTCACCCTCATGCCGTAACACCAACCAGATTTGCATAAGGTGTTGAGTGTGGCTATTGTCTGTTAGCCCAGTCTGCTTTATTGTAATACTGTACTGTATGGAAGAGAATCACAGAGAGATGATCCCTACATCCAGGGCAGGGAGTTGGGGGAGGGGGGTAGCCCCTTGCTCATAGGCGTCCTGTGACTTAGGTTAAACAGCCAGGCATGGTCAAGGACCCAGCTCCCCTGTCTTCCAGACTTAAGCTATTTTGGTGTGAGCCCTCTGGGCAAACAGCATCTATGTGGCTGATGGTCTGTGGCCACTCCTACTCAGAGGAGGTTTACTAAGCCACAAACCTAGGCAGTCCATGTCCCAGAGTCTGCATTAGTTAGGAAGCAGACTCAGCAAGAGAGTTGCTCCTGAAAGAGCTGCAGTTATCTTGCACTAATTAAATGGCTTAAAGCTGTAAAGCAGGAAGCAAATTAAGAGCCCATAAAACTTCCAAACCTTGAAGCTAGCAAACGCAAATGGATGACAGGTGTGAGTGCCAATTCTCAGTGGCCTCTGCTCTTGCCTTCATCTGGGCCTCCTCTTTTCTCTCCTTTGAAAGGACCCCTGTCCTTTTTGACAGTAGCCATGCTAATGTCCGAATCTCATTCTTTTTTAAAGATTGAATAATATTTCATTATATGTAAAGACCACAATTTGTTTTTCCATTCATCTGTCCATGTACATTGGGTTGTTTCCCTCTAGGCTACTGTAAATAATCCTGCAGTGTACATGGGTGAACAAATATCTCTTCCAGACCCTGGTTTCAGTTCTTTTGGGTATAAACCAGAAGCAGAATTGCTGCATTAAATGGTAATTCTTCTTCACAGCAGCTGTACCATTTTAATATTCCCACCAGCAATGCACATGGGTTCCACTTTCTCAGCATCCTTATCAACACTGCTATTTACTGTTTTTTTGACAGTAGCCATACTAATGGGTGTGAGGTAATACCAGACTTTCTTTTTGAATTCAAGTATACAGGACATGTGGTCTTAAAATGTAATAGGATTCTGGAGAGTCCGTATCACAGCTGAAATATTTAGGCCAAGTCCATGTCAGCCAAACACACATGTGCATTTGGGAACACACACTCCCCCCCCACTCCAGGCTCCTAAACAGGCCTCCAGGTGAGTCGTGGGTGTCCAGTACGAGGGACGCTGGCCTGGCTTCCTAGACCAGTCGCACTGGGTGAGGCCCCTGAGGGAAGCTCATGTATGCTGCTCTCTTATAAAGACAAGTCTTTCCTTGTGTTTGTTTCCTGGTTTCAGAACCACGATCACGCCTGCATCGCCTGCCGCATCATCCACCGGTCGGATGAGCACCGCCCGCCACTCCTGCCCCCCAAGGCCGACCTGACTGTGGGCCTGCACGGCGAGTGGGTGAGCCAGCGCTGTGAGGTGCGGCCCGAGGTTCTCTTCCTCACCCGCCACTTCATCTTCCACGACAACAATAACACCTGGGAAGGGCATTACTACCACTACTCTGACCCCATCTGCAAGCACCCCACCTTCACCATCTACGCCAAGGGCCGCTACAGCCGGGGCGTGCACTCCTCCAGGGTCCTGGGAGGAACAGAGTTTGTGTTCAAAGGTAGGGCTCCCACCTCGGGTCCCAGCTTAACGGTTTAGCTGGTAGGAGACAAAGCAGTTTTGTGATGTTTAGTTGAGGCAGAGCTTGAGGCAAGGGGCCTCTTTTCTACTAGAGATGTTGGGGAAGAGGTCAGGGGTGCTTCTGCTTCAAGGTCATCCTTCCCAACAGCCTCTGTGCTCCGAAACAGGGCAAACCTGGGTGGAAGGCTCAGCCCGTGGGCTGTGGTGCTGTGGTGCTGTGCATGGTGTTAGACATGGCCAGGGAGTATGTAACTAGAATGAGATCGCAGGTCTGCACGAATCATTTATGTGCAGCTCACAGCAGGTACTGAACTGCCCCAGTGATGATGTCACGCTCACTTGCTGCGTGCAGCTCCCCCTCCTGAACAGACGGTAAAGAACAGGCATTGGCCACACCTCAGGCACTCAGAGTTGTTTCCGATGCTGCACTTGGCAGGCACTTGAGAAGCTGCTGTGTGCTTGGGGTGGGAGGGTCAGGATACCTAATGATCACCTAAAAGAAGAAGGTAAGGGATGAGATTCGCCAGACTGTTACCAGCAAGGGAGGTCTAATGGTTTATTTCTAGAATTTTTTTAGGCTGGCCCATCTACTTAAGATGGAATCACTTCTGCCATGGCCAAATAAAAGGGGAATGGCCTAGATACTGGGTGTGAGCCCTTCCAGGATAGCATTCTGTGCTTCAGTCTAGTTAATATAGAGGATTTCTACTAACCTGGAAAACCCTAGGGCATCTTGAACCTCCTCTTAGCAAGGAAGATTTGCTCAAGCAAGAGTGGACCTTTGATACGGCCAAGAGAACATCTTTGATTCTACCCAAAGCTCTTATGGTAGAACATAGTCCCCTGGGCGGGCCTTCCAAAGCAGTCTTCTGCAAGCACTGGGAAGCTTACTTAATATATTTACTCATTTTTCTTGCTTGCAGCCTTATTTATTTTAGTTGCACAATTTATGGACCAGTATTAATTTGCAAGACTACTAACTAGTATAGGTGTTCAACACCAAAACTATTTAACAACCTCAAGTCCTTTTCATAAAAACAAAATTCAAGCTTTTGTTGACTATTTTGTCAATCCCAAGAGTCAACGTGACCAAAGAGACACCTTGTAGTCTTTGGAGACAGTTTGTGGGATGGTTTGATTTCATATTAATAGGCACAATCAGCTGCAGCTGGGCTAGGCATTCAGACGCTAAGTGTAGTAGATTGTTTCCGGTCACACCTATGGTCTGTTTGGTGTGACTGCCATTGATATCATCATGTTGAACTCTTTGCACCAGAGAATGCTTGTCTACACTCTGCTGTCGGATGCCTGGGTGTGCAGGGCTGTTTTGGAGCAGCCTGGTGTGGGTGGCATGCTGCCAACCATGGCTCTGTGGGCTCTCCATCCCACACACTCACTCTCTGAGTCATAGAACTGCCCTCTCTCCACAGTGAATCACATGAAGGTCACCCCCATGGACGCGGCCACAGCCTCCCTCCTCAATGTCTTCAGCGGCAATGAATGTGGGGCTGAGGGCTCCTGGCAAGTGGGCATCCAGCAGGATGTGACCCACACCAACGGCTGTGTGGCGCTAGGAATCAAACTACCTCACACGGAATATGAGATCTTCAAAATGGAGCAGGATGCCCGCGGCCGCTACCTGCTGTTCAATGGCCAGAGGCCCAGTGATGGGTCCAGTCCTGACAGGCCAGACAAGAGAGCCACGTCCTACCAGATGCCCTTGGTCCAGTGCGCTTCTTCTGCTCCCAGAGCTGAGGACTTCTCCGAAGACCACAGGGGGCGCCAGTATGGGAGCCAGGCACCTGGGAGGAGTGCTTGTTCCCTGCTCCTTGTGCTCACCTGTCTTCTGGCTCTGCTGCACTGGAACACTCTCCGATAGAAGCTTTTACAAAACTTATATTTTTCCAAACCAGGATTCCTTACAATTGACAGATTTTTCTTTGCAAAAAGAAAAGACACTTCTAGTTCTGATGCACTTGAATGCCTGAGAACTGGCGTTCCTTTTCTCCGGCCTCACCCCTCTCTCGCAGCCTGAGTCATGAGCAGAGCTGTTTGAAGTTTCTGCTTTGAACTCCGTCCAGTCGGGTGGCTGGCCGGGATGCCTTCACAACAGTAATTGCACTGTAAGACCGCAGAGAGTTTCGGGCTAGGGTGTTTGTCAGAGGGAGCAGGGTGAAAGCTAGATCCTCTTCTTTTCTTCTTCTTAATTATTTTTATATTTCTGAATTGAGCTTAGAAGACAGGACTATCAAGCTACAGTTTTTCCTGCCACTATTTGCTTCCTGTCCTCCTTTGGGATTGTTTTACTCTCTGACTTTCACAACCTGGAATTTGTGCAGAGCTGGTTTGGAATGGCAATCAAGATACTTTTATTAATAAAAAAGAGACTTGTGTGTAGATATGTACATAGGAAAGACACAGGGTTTAGCTTTTGACAACCTTGGCAGCCTTTCTGCAAAAAAAAAGCAGAAATTCCAAGCTTTCAAATATGGAGTGGAGAAGTATCTGTAATTAAAACTTCAAAGTAATTTAAGCTATTGTTTTAACTTGTTGGGGGCAGAGACACTGGTTTTATGTGGGTTTCTGGATGGTTGTGGAATGCATGATGCTTTCTTACTTGCCCAGTAGACAAGGGCTGTCAAGCAAATACCTAAGCAGTCCTGTCACCAGACAGCAGCAGGGATGCACAGGCTGGGAACAGTGTATTAAATGCTACGTGAATGATAAAATGCTCGTTCATTCCACAGTTTCCTCTTCATGGGACCTTCTTCCTGGCTCATGCATATCTGGTTGGGGTAAGCAGCTGGAGTGTCCGTCTGCCATCTCTGCGTGCTACTTTCAAAGACAAACACTCAAGAGACCACACTTCCAGTTTAGGGCCTGGCTGCCCAAAGACGGTGCAGTGGGCGGCATTCCAGCTGGGAGCACCAATAGGCCCTGCACTTGTGTGAAACCCAGGCTTTGTGTAAAGGTCCCTTATCCTCAGATGTGGCAGCTCTGCAGGATTTCAGGGCAACCTTACACAGAGCCTGTGAGCTTCTTTCTCAGACACTGGGAGGGTGCGTGAGTCCTGTCTGCCCATTACTTTGGATTATTGAAAACGGCACTATCTGAATGCCACATGTCATTGCCAGTGGGGACTGATGTAGGGAAATGTGAGTAACTGAGAGCCTGGATATAACCAAAAGCAGATTGGAAGCCACAGTCAAAGTCAAGAGTCACACTCATATTTAAGAATGAACTTTATGACAGGCTGTAGCATTCAATGTGCTGTTAAGTTATGCAGATGTCAAGGAGTAACGAAGTGCTTTATCTTTAGATTTTATTTTAAGTTGTGGTGCATACTAAGGGGGTTTATTCAAAAGAAAATACTAACTTAATGTCTGCCAAGCTTAATAAACAAAGATGTTGAAAATACTTCCATGAAATACATTTTACCTGTGGATCTATTTAATTAATATTAATGCTATCTTCAAAGTATATAATAAAGTTATATGGAAAAACTAGTTCACTGCTAAAGAATACCTCAGTGGTTTACCATAAAAATGATAGATTTATAGTCACTTAATTCACAACCACTCACCTAGACTTAGCTATTCACACTTTTTAAAGTATACTACATACATATATATGTATATACACACATGTATGTGCATACATATCCAAATATATAGATATTAATGTACATAATATATGTTTATGCATATGTCCTAGGCATGACATAAACTCCATGTGGTCATATCACTTTCTGATACACTATATATCATTACAGAGAATGACCAATATAATTTATTCACAAATTATCAACACAATTAAACATATGCCTGTTCCTTGCTGTGTCACTCACACATATCACATCTAACCTTGGTATGTCATGTTAGCACGAATGAGCACCTCTAAAAGTAAGCTGCCATATGTATTCCATGGAGATCTTCATTTTAAGTGATTTTCCATCACCTTGAAGAAATACAGTTACCTACATTTAAGAATCATTCAGGTTTGAGAGTTAGAAATTTTAACAAGACCAATGATTTCTCTAAGGAAAATATCCTGGGCAGCGAGCTGATAATGGCCAGGGTCAGAAAGTTGTTCCTTAGGCAATGATAAAATTTGGGTGTGATCTAGGCTTCAAACTTTATACAATCCATGTTGACCCTGGCCTCTAATAAAAGGAGCTTCCTAGAGTCCCACATCACCCAGTACAGAACAAAAATAGCTTGCTCAGGTGTGACAAGTCCAGTCATTTGTCTTAGAGTAGGAGCGCATGATGCCCAGCATCTGGCCTTTGGGATGATGTCCACCCTAAATAGCCCAATGCAGTGCCCAGTGCTGTGGCAGCCCTGGGGTAACTCCACAGTGCTGGGCATGAGGGACCCCTATTAGAGAGGCGGGTGATGCAGGACATCCTCAGGGCCTCACTCAGCTTACAGAAACAACTGGAATGTAAGACTCATGGCTCCTGGTTGAAGGGAAAGCATTAACAATAATGAAAGGGCCATTCTTTATTCCACCAGCTCTTTAAATACAACTTAAAGACAAAGATGACATTCATATCAATCCCCACATTGTGATGTTTTATTTTACAATGATACATCCCATCTCCACTAGACATACTAGGTACCTGGCAGTGGAATATAGAAGCCAATAGATAGCATCTAACTAGGCATTTCAGGACACTGTCCTCAAAGGGAAATGCTGCAAATCCTGAACTGGATTGTTGGAGAGGGATCTGGGCCCACACTGTCACACAAAACTTCTCTACCCTGCACAGATTTTTCCGGCTTTTTGAGACATCAGATTTCATGAGTCCAAACATCTTTCATGAATATACATCTAGATCAAGAACAAATAAAGGTAGCTTGATGTTTCCCACTGATTTCTGCATTCATGAGAAAGTGCATGAACATTTTCTTACCAGTAAGAGAATTACATGTCCTAAAATGCTATAAATTATTCAACTCCTGATGATCCAAGAGTCTGGCTTCCAAGGTAAACAATCTCTGAATGTACATAGGGCCCCAATTTTGTCACAACCCCGTTGCCCTGGTGTTTCACTGGGCAGAAGTAATGCTATCATGAGAAAAACTGGAGAAAGTAAGGTCACCAGCTTCTCTATTGGCTGAGTTGTGCTGAGGTTGACAGCACAATCTCACCCCTCCAGGGGAGAACTAACTGGCACCAAGTTGAATGCCACCAAGGGTATGAGACAGGACACATACATCTCCACTCAGCTGGTCAGCACACTGGAAAGCAGATCATGGGATCTGACCAGTGGCCTTCCATTCTAAGAACAAGGCTGTGGTTTCCATGGATTCATTTGGTCTCAGTTTCTGGTACCTGTTATATAACCTTACCTTCGTGACCTCCATGCCCTCTGGAACACCACGTGAGCAATTCCATCCCCCTCCATTTAATCAGCCTTGGGGAGCCACTGCATTAGCATCCAGAGGCATGAGAGTTTGGCCCCCAAAACTCCCCTGTCCACGCCAGCTCAGTCACCCTCCTGAGCTGGAGGAACAGATGGCAGTTCTGTCTGCCTCTAAGGACCTGCTCCAGCCTACTTCTCATGCAGTTGCTTCCTCTCTAGTGATAGGAAAGCCTGAGGAAGATCCTCAGAAGGCTGAGACTTGCATTTCCCAAGGACCTATGCATTTGAGGCCCAGCCTTCTTTCTGTAGCTGATGAGGCAATATAAGTAGGACAATTGAGAGGCTATGACCTTCAGAAAATCAAGGTTATCATCAACAAGTTGGGGCCACTGTGTATTCAGAGAGTTCATTTACAGAATATCTTCCTGTCCCCTACATTAGCCTCACTTGTTCTCACAGGCTGGGCCCAGGGTCATCCATCTGCTCTGGAATCAGTTTATATAGATTGAAAAATTGGGAAGTGAAGCTATATTATATCTAGGTTCCAACATAACTTATGTGAAGGGAAATAGCCTTATAGCATTCTTAACTCCTAGCTCCAAAGTAGAGTATTTATAACAGGCCCTGAAAAAGTGTACAGTCTCAGAGCAGAAGAGAATATGTTGCATTATGTAAGAAGCAAGCACATTGGTGGTGTAAACTCGGGCAGGCAACGATTGTGTGAAACATAATTGCAACAAGAAGATAGCTCTCCTCCACTATTGCTGCCTTGCTATACCTGAAAATAAAAGATGCTTTAGTAACACATAGGGCTGATTTGCACTAAAAGCCCTTTGCAGGAATTAAGCTTTTGAAATGGGTTTTCTTCCTAATATGAAATGGAGAGTACAGTTATAGCTTATTAAAAAGCCATAACATTATAGAGTTTTTTGCCACTTACGTAGCAGGAGAAGCAATCAGTATCTAATTCCCATGTACACCTTTATCCATTTTCAGGGCTTTTTCAGCACTGTATGAATGTAAAAATCTTTTTGTTTTTCAATTATATGTATATTTTGTCAGTGTGTAAATCAATTCTTCTTCCCCACTGCATGTTCCAGATTACATTGCTCAAGAAATTTGACCAGTTGTTAACCATGTTCATTAAAAATAAGGCTAGTAAATAGAGGATTAAATTCCTTAGAAACTTCAACCAACTCTAGAGAAAACCTAGAAGATATTCTTAATCTCATGGTATAGGTGACAAGAGTGAAAGTCCCTAAGGTTAAGGATTAAAGAGACAGGGAGCTTTTATTGAATTGTTTTCTATTTTTGTGCCCCAGAATTTCAGCCTGACTTTCCCAACCCCAGCAACTATTTATTGGATGCACATTAAATATAGGGCATCAGAATTGGTTCTTTACATACATTATCATGTTCAATAGCATGGTACTTTACAGTTTTGAATTCTTACTGAAAAATCTAGTGATGGTGTGCACTGTGCTGATCCTAACTCCCTACAAACAAGTTTTTTCTTTAAGGACTTATTACCCAGTCTTCCAGAACATGGGGAGATACAGCAAAGCTTGCAAAGCATGTGTCTAGTCCCTGACTTTGGGAGAGATAAAGGAGAAACCAGTGAGTAGTCAGGCTTTGCTTTCAACTTTGAGAGTGAAACTCCCAATCCCTATTCCCTGGATCAGGTTCATGAAAGCAGAGGGAGCCTCTTTTCTCCCAGAAGCCTTCAGGGACTATCCAGACATAACAACGGTGCCTCTTTGAAAGTTGGCAATTTTAACTTCCAGACATCCTTGGTCTTGAGTGATGCTCAGTTCCTCAGCCAGCCCGATGGATTCTTTCCAGATTTTTCCTGTCCAAGGTCTCCAAACCAGTGAGTGAAGGAGCCTTCAGGATGTGCTCCTGCACATACAAGTACACACAAACACACACTTGATATTTCAAGCTCAAATGGCAGATGTTTGAGGATCTCAGGTCAAACTGGAGAGACTTCATACACTCAGTGAAACTCCTTAGGAGAATGATGCCGTGCAGTGTGAGGGATCTCCTAGGTGGAAGTGTGTGCACTAGTGGCTGTGCTCTTCTGGGCCACCATCCAGGGAATTGTTCTAGTACCATACTTTCATCTTGGCCCTGGCTTGTCATACCTTCTGGGTAAAGCCACATCTGCCTGTGGTTATTAAGTAACCATGGCCCAGTCAGTCACTCATGTCAGCTCTCCATAATTTCTCCCAACTTTGGCACCCAAGTCAAATGTGCAGCCATTGCACTCATCTGTGGGGTGGTGGTATCAGCCAGACCATAGTCTGGTCATTTCAGATATACAGGCTTGTCTACATCTTAAGGATGAAGTGCTCAGGGAAG